GGAAGGGAAAGGGCAGTGGACGAAAACACCTCTTGACCGTGACTAGAAGATAGAAAGTAGCTGGAGGGGATGAGAATGGTGCCTTTTTTTCAAGATGGTTGTGTGTGGGCCAAAGAGTAAAAGTTGGGAGATCCCAGTGACAGGGAAGTTGAATCTCTGAGGTTTGCAAAGTCATAGTAAAATTAGGGCATTAAAGAGACAGAGACAGAAGAGAGCAAGAGACAGAAGAGAGCAAGAGACAGTGCCAGCTTGGTAGTAGAAGTTAAAGGCAAGATTATGAAGGGAATCATTTACCAAGATAGAAATTGAATTTTCATACTAATCACCATCAGGATTTGAGTACCTTTGCTCGGTGCTGGACACAATTCTCTCTTACAGCAACCCAGATATTATTTCTATTTTACTGCTAAGAAATCAGACTGAGAGAAGTAATTTGCCAAAGACTAGTTTTCAGTGGTGAGAAATAGAGTGAGGAAATAAAATGGAGTCACTATAGTCAAGCTGCTAAATTACTGAAATCAAGCAGGCTGAGGTAGGAGGAAACGGTTCTATTCTTGTTTTAACTAGCCTGGGAACTTACTTATGAATTTTCCAGTCCTCCATCAAACATCCAGATAACTATCTGATTACTTCTTGAAAGAATAAGAAAAGAATGTTCATACCCAGCCGGAGTGGTTCAGTTAGTTCAGCGTTGTCTCGTGCACCAAATGGTTGCCGGTTCAATTCCGGTCAGGGCACATACCTGGGTTTTGGGTTCAATCCCCATTCTAGGTTTGTAGGCTTGCAATGATGTTCCTCTCCCTCTGTCTTCCTCTCTCTAAGCATGTCCTTGAGTGAGGGTTTTAAAAAATGATAATAAAAAAATAAATTTTGAAAAAGAATGTTGATGTATCCAGACGACCTGACATGCATTATCCAGACCTCAGGTCATTTAGATGATTACCATCATGGACCAATCCAGAGGCTAAGAATGCAGAACTCATATTTTTCAAGAATGTACTTTTTACTATGAGAACCCTTAGCTTTTCTTTCTTTTTCAGAACACTCTGGGTATTGCCTAGTTGTTTCTGGTTTGCAAACCCTAAGACCCTTGAATAAATCTCTATCATTTATTTCTAGCAAAGCCTCCAGACTCTTCTTGAGTTCGATGGGCAGTGTGTAGGCTGGGATTCCAGTCTAGATTTGTCTGGCTGGGAATGGACTGCAAGCTGAAGTTTTAACATCCTAACTGTATAACTAATTCTCATTTTGTCACCCTTGCTCAAAACAAGGGTATGTATGTATGTAGAGTCCTTCTATGTATGTAGAGTCCTTCTCCCAACACCCCATGCCATCGATTAATTCCTGTAGTTTTCTTGTGTTTCAAATCTTTCTTTACACCTTTGCTGTCATGGCCCTAACATATTTGATTCCTACGTTGTCCTGATGTCCTTGACTCTATTCTCTTAATCCTCTTAAAAGTTCAGAAATAGCCCTGGCTGGTTTGGCTCAGTGGTTGGAGCGTTGGCCTGCTGTCCAGAGAGACCCGGGTTCGGTTCCTGCTAAGGGCACGTACCTCGGTTGCAGTTTGTCCCCGGCCCTGGTTGGGTCCTGCGGGTGGCAGCCACTTGATGTGTCCCTTTCATGTCGATGTTTCTCTCTCTCTCTCTCTCTTCCTCTCTCTCCCTCCCGCTCTGTCTGAACAAAAAATGGAAAAATGTCCTCAGGTGAGGATAAAAAAAAAAGTTCAGAAATAGCCAAAGTAAAACCAATGAATCACCAAAATAATAATTAGTAAAAGTTTATTGTGCAAACCAGGAGCACGCAATCCAAAACATGGAGGCTCAGGGGTAGATTGTTATAAAGCAGCTTGTATAGTAAGAAAATGTTACCAAACCAATCAAGGGTCTGCCTGCCCTATGTGCAGCAAAGCCCACACTGAACACTGAGGTTTGCTATGGAGAAATTAAAGCTGTTTCTTTTGCAGGAAGTCAGGCAAGGAGAACAGGAACCGAACTCCCAGTGGCTTTTAATCAAGGGTTTTTAAAGGCAAAGATTGAGGGTTAGGGGTTAGGGAGAACAGGCTGGTATGAGGAAGCACTGGCGGTATAGGTGTTGGAGAGATTTGGAACTTGGCCACTTATGGTAAAATATGGTAAGGGGCTCCGGCACTGATCTTCCTGCACAACAGACCCTTTGCTTTTGAAAGGATTTTGGTATTCAGATTCTGGTCATGTCCCAGTTCTTTGGTTCTGTGTGTAGCTGGAGGTCAAAGTTCTCTCCCTCTGCACATGCTTTGGCTTCATGACGTGCGGGTTTTGGTCTGTTGACTCTGAAAGGCAACTCAGTAACTTGACAGAAACAGGATAGGACCATTTTGAGCTGGTTCTGAAGTGACAAACACAGTGACTGTTTATTCTTCATGGCAATTAGTTAAATTTTTCAGTGGTTACTTTGTCAACCTTGCAAAAGGAGTCAAGTTTTTGCTTATGATTTCCTGAAATAAAAGCAAGAAATGAACCAGGGCAAGTTAATGTTGCAAAATAAGCTAAATTAAGCTTTGTTTGTATGACTAAACTGGTTTTGTCTACTTGGAATTGTCAAAGCTGGTCTCCATTTTTTTTTTTTTTTTAAAACCACTGCCATCCATTTTTAACACCAATGTCAGATTCATTTTTCTAAAACATTCATTATAGTGAATGTCTGCTCAAAATGTTTCAGTGATTCCTTATTGCCTAGATTTGTGGTTCCCAGATTGTGAGCTAAGGCGCCCTTGGGAAGCAAAATCACAGGGATGCCAGGAGATATTTTAAACTTTGGGTGGGGCCCTGGACGGTTTGGTTCAGCAGTTAGAGCGTCGGCCTGTGGACCTGAGGGACCTGGGTTCGGTTCCCGCTAAGGGCACATGCCTTGGTTGCAGTTTGTCTCTGGCCTCGGTTGGAGTTGTGTGGGTGGCAGCCAGTTGATGTGTCTCTCTCACATCAATGTTTCTCTCTCTCCTCCCTCTCTATCTGAAGATCAATGCAAAAATGTCCTCGGGTGAGGATTAAAAAATAAACAAACTTTGGGTGGGGGGATCAGTGATACTTGACATGTTAGACATCTGAATGGTCAGTTTCAACATTAGATCATGTTACATTCCTTTCCCGTGTCAAATGGAATGAAGGCAGTAGTGTCCAATTTGATACAAGGTGTGAAAAATTAAGCAGTGCCCAACATCCCATTAGTAAATAATTGTAGTTTCTGAGCAATGAAATGATAAAAACCCGCACTTCTTACGGCATTCAAGGTTCTTTGAAACTTCTGGTAACACCACGTGTCTTCCACCTATTATACAGGCTCAGGTTTTTCTCGTATCACATTTGGCACATTACAAGTGTTCAATTAAGTGTCAGACATAATCCCTTCTCATGTCAAACCTTCTGACAAGCCCAGTGTTCTTACTCAGTTCCCCAAGACTTATCTGGATGTTGCGCCCCCCCCCCCCTTTTTCCTCCAATTTTTCATGATTTTCTCCCTGGAGTTTCCAATGATCCCTTCCTTGGGTTTGATTTAATTTGCCAGAGCAGCTCAAAGACTCAGCAAAACATTTTACTTACTAGATCACTGGTTTATCATATAAAAGGATGTAACTCAGGAACAGCTAGATGGAAGAGATGTGTGGGGTCAAGGACATGCCCTCTGGGCACACCACTCTCCCCAAAACTCCACGTGTTCACCAACCTGGAAGGTCTTCAACTTTCTAGCAAGCCTCTCCAAATGTTACTTTTCCTTCAGTTCGCAGCCTACCTCCTCCAAAAGCCTAACCCAGTTACTACTATAGAACACAGCTGCACTGCACAGCCAGTGTTAGTTTATGTATGAATCTGTTCAGGCTCCAGATCAGATCAAACACCCAGAACACTACCACATGTACAAAAGGCATGTGGAGCAGAACAGGTGAGCGGGGATAAAAGTCAAGAGTGCAAAAGTGCTGGCTGGTGGTGCAAAGCAGAGCCACGAAGTGAAAGCCCTTGGTGAGACCAGGCCATGAGAGTGGGGTCTCTCTCCTGGGGAGATGAGTAACAATAGATACTGACATCATTACATTCCCAGCAGTTAACAAGGGAGGCAGGACAAGGAGGTGAGGATCCCACAACAGTTTCCCACCCTCTCCTTCCAAGAAAGAAGTAAAACTTTTTTTGGCCTGAAATAGCAAATACAAATTTGATTGTTTATAGTAAACAATCTTTTGAACTATAAGTATCCTGAAAATGGGTAGAAGAAAAGGTTCAACCCTTCCACTGGTGAGAATTACTTAACTGAGTTTTCCCCTGGAAATATTTGGGACATAACCAATTGCATGAATGTTTGTGTATGAAGACAAAGAATTTTGACCCTGTTAAGTTAGGGTGGGGGCATTACTTAGCTTGATTGGGTGGCTCTGGGCAGCCTTAGTAATGCCGAATGGGGACTGGGTCTGGTGAAAAAATTAGGAGGTGCAGAAAAAAAAGGGAGATGACCAAAGACCACCTAGTTTGACTAAGTAATGAAATATGGCTGTGCCTTTGGTAAACCAGGGTGGGGCCACGGACTTCAGTTGATTAAGGACCATGAAGCCAGGTCCAGCATTGGCTGTGCAAAGCAAACAGCAGGTACACAACCATGCTTAGGAATACAGGGAGACACGGGCAGCCAATGACACAAAACTGGTGGATGGAGTCTGGCACCCACCGCTACGCACAGGGAGATGCCTTCAGAAGACATAATAATGTTCTGGAAGACTGGGCGGGGTAGGCATGGAGCATTTAATGAGTGGAAGAAAAATATTCTGGGTTAAACTGGAGTTGTGAACTTGTTACCTACATTAGTTCAACAGTAGTTAGTGAACATATTTAGGTTAGGAGGCTATTTTCAATTCTCAATGTTGCAATCCGAAAAGTTACAGAAATATTTATTTTAAAATTCGCACTTTATATATATACATATACAAAAAACACAGGAGTGATTTGGATTAAAAGCTCCAAGGTGTATTGTTTCAGGTAGGTGTTACTGCTATCTATTCCTCCACCCCATTTATTAAGCCATTTCAAGTACCTTGAAGTTAAAACATTTACAGTGAGGTATAGAGTCCGACCAGGATGGGACACAATGTGTTCCAAATTCAAAGGCGGCTGCGTAGCTCCTCAGATGTTTCCTGTGGAGCACCTGTGCCTCACTGTACAACTGAGGGTTTCTTCCCGCACATCTGAATGTGGCCTTTTGGATCCTCTGACTGTGGCTGGTTTAGTCTCCAGGTTCTAACAGTATGTTGCTTTGTTGCCTAGAAGTTGATCCAGCTTCCAGGCCCCACTCCTGTAGACCTCAGTTATGTACATGTGAGGTTCGAGAGCTGACTAATCTGAAGGTTGGGAAATCTTGTTTAAAGGAGGAACTGCCATTTCAGCATAAACTGTCCTTAATCCTACTGTAGAAACTGTTTTAATTCTGGGGATGATCATGGCCAAGCAGCAGATGTCGTTAGTGGCTTCTTCTGAGAGTTAATTCCCGAGAGAGAGCCATCTGGCCACTTGCTTTTTATCACATTTCTAATAGTTGTTCCATTTCCTCAAGGGCTGTTGTAAAATCATTTACTTGGCTGTTACATAAAGTCTGCTGTTCTAGGAAGCGGGCCCTCTCTTCTTCTTTCATCTTCAACTTTACTTTTAAGGCCTGCTTGGAAAGATATTCAAAAAGAAAAAAAACAAACACAAAACTTTGAAACGTTATGCTTCTATTCCATCGAGGAAAACCACAGAAATACTGACATTAGATTTGTCTGTGCTGGTTTTAGAAACTGTCCCTTCTTATTCTAGACTCCACTATCTAAACTGGAGCAATGAAATCCTCTTCGATTCAGTGTCATGTACCATAACTCTGAAGCAGTCATGACCCTAGAAGCTGGGTTTCCTTGAGATATCAAGTTTGCACAGCATGGATTTTACACAGGTTTCATCTCTCAAATCTGAGCAACCTGGCATGTTGCACATTGTCTCATGCCCTGCAGATGTGAACAATTCTAGGAATCTTTAGGACAGAAAAGAAAGTTAAAAAAAATATTGAAATTGCCCTGGCTGGTTTGGCTTAGCGGTTAGAGCGCTGGCCTGTGGTCTGGAGAGACCTGGGTTCGGTTTCCGCCAAGGGCATGTGCCTCGGTTGCAGTTTGTCCCCGGCCCTGGTTGGTTGTGCAGGTGGCAGCCACTCGATGTGTCCCTTTCGCATCGATGTTTGTCTCACTCTCTCTCTCTTCCTCTTTCTCCCTTCTACTCTATCTGAATAAAAAATGGAAAAGTGTCCTCGGGTGAGGATAAAGAAAAAAAATATTGAAATCAAAGGAAATCTTAGAATTTAATAAACAGCTTATTAAACATAAAGAAATTGTCTGGCCGGTGTGGCTCAGTGGTTGAGCATCGACCCATGTACCAAGAGGCTGCCGGTTCGATTCTCGGTCAGGGCAAATGCCCAGGTTGTGGGCCCAATCCCCAGTGGGGGACATGCAGGAGGCGACCAATCGATGTTCTCTCTCATCGATGTTTCAGTCTCTCTCCTTCTCACTTCTCCTCTCTCTCACATCAATAAAGGGAAAAAAATTAAAAATAAAATAGATAAATAAGAAAGAGCCCTCCACAGATCCACCTATTGTGGAAGGAAATGGTACTGTGCTTCAGGGTGACGTCTGTCTCTCACCTGTAACTCCTCCATCTGCTTTTTGGCTGTTTCATTAAAAAGCTTCAGTTCATCTTGCAAAGTTTCTAACAGCAACTAAGAGAAAGTACAATGTAGTAACAAATCTTTAGTTTCTGTGAAGAAAATGTACACATATCCACAATCTCTCTGTGTGAAAGGAGAGTTGAACTAGATGATTCCTAACATCAGTCAGTCACTTACTGAGTTCTCTGCTGGGCACACGGGAGGAACTCAGTCCCCAGGAGGGACGAGAGATTCCCCACTTGCATGAGCTCTGCTACACAAGCAATATGAACAAACGTAGCCACTGAAGGGGTGACTAATAACCTTGGAGAGCTGAGGATGGTTTCCATATCTAGTGTTCTTGGACTCTAAGATGACAACTGATCTTGGGGAAGAGATCATAGAAGCTCAAAAGACTTTACTCCCAAACAATTACCTTCCTACTTCAGGGAAGGAACCAAAGAGAAGCCAAATTTAATTCAGGCTGAACCTTTGCATTATATAATTCTCAGCAAAGGAATAAGGCAAGGTGGCCATCGTAGAAGTGCCAGAGGTCAAAATGAAGTTCAATCCCTTTGTAACTTCTGACAGGAGCAAGAACTGTAAAAGGCATTTCAATGCACCTTCCCACATTCGCAGGAAGATTACATCTTCTCCTCTTTCCAAAGTACAACGTTTGGTTCATGCCCTTCCGAAAGGATGATGAAGTTCAGGTTGTTCAAGGACATGACAAAGGGCAGCAAATTGGCAAAGTAGTCCAGGTTTACAGGAAGAAATATGTCATCTACAGTGACCGAGTGCAGCAGGAGAAAGCTAATGGTACAAATGTCCATGTGGGCATTCACCCCAGCAAGGTGGTTATCACTAGACTAAAGCTGGACAAAGACCACAAAAAAATCCTTGAACATAAAGCCAAATCTTGCCAAGTAGGAAAGGAAAAGGGCAAATACAAGAAAAGAAACAATTGAGATGATGCAGGAGTAAAGTATTCTTATATACAACTTTCATTAAAACTTAAAATGAAGCCCTGGCTGGTTTGGCTCAGCGGTTAGAGCTTTGTTCTGCGGTCCAGAGAGACCCGGGTTCGGTTCCTGCTAAGGGCACGTACCTCGGTTGCAGTTTGTCCCCAGCCCTGGTTGGTCATGCGGGTGGCAACCACTCAATGTGTCCCTTTCATGTCAATGTTTCTCTCTCTCTCTTCCTCTCTCTCCCTCCCGCTCTATCTGAACAAAAAATGGAAAAATGGCCCTGGCCAGTTTGGCTCAGCGGTTGGAGCGTCGGCCTGCGGTCCGGAGAGACCCGGGTTCGGTTCCCGCTAAGGGCACGTACTTCGGTTGCAGTTTGTCCCCGGCCCTGGTTGGTCGTGCGGGTGGCAGCCACTCGATGTGTCCCTTCACGTCGATGTTTCTCTCTCTCTCTCCCTTCCTCTCTCTCCCTCCCACTCTATTAAAAAAAAAGGAAAAATGTCCTCGGGTGAGGATTAAAAAAAAAAAACAAAACTTAAAATGAAGAAAAAAAGGGATAAGGAGAGAAATCTGGTATAGTGTAGAATGGAGAAACCAGAAAGCTCTCCATAGAGGTCTATCCTATTACGTGTTTTAAAGTAGTACATTTTCAACTCAGATTCACTCATATTGTAAGCACAAAGTCCACCTGCCAAGTAAAACATGCTATTTGGAGCACACATCCACCACCCTCTTCTTCCACTAGGCTGGATAACCAAAGGCTGCTCCTTGGGGTTTACTGGGCACAGGGCAGAGATCCTCCTCCAGCTGCAGAGCCCCAGTCGCTAGGCCCCGCCCACTCACACCCAGGCCCTCACCAGAGAGTCCACGTGATCCTCGCTGGGTTCTTGCTGTGATGCCAGGATTTCGCTGTCTGGACGTAATGGAGACAACAAAGTTAGCCGTGCTTAGGGCACTGTGCCTTAAACAAACAAACCCCTCTAGAACAAGCACAAGTTTTCATCCAGGACACTTCTCTAGGCGGCTGCTCCCTGACTCCCTGAGTTTTCACCTTGTCAGCGTCGCCCACATCTACCTCAAGGCATATTTTACCTCTTTCCTTTCTATGATTGGATGTGGCCAAAAATTCATTCTGCTTTTTCCTCAGAAAATTTGTCCAAACGCAATGTATAGGTTGGATTTTTTGTTTACAAAACAAAATTACTTAAAAAAAAGTTTTTCAGGCCTTAAATATTATTTAAAGCTTTTCAGGCCTTAAATATTACTATTTTTGGTAAAAGTAGTGCATACACATAATAAATTAAAGTGACACAAATATGTATATGGTGACTATAGAGAAGATGACCTAAATCGCACAGTAACCAGAAGCAATCAGTCAGCATTCCTAACACAAAGAAGCCTGGGGCCCTTCCCTGGGCATCATCAGGCTCCTCAGTTCCATCTGAGGCCCCTTCCAGTCTTTGGGCAAGTCCTTCGTGTGCCCTCCTCTCTGCTCCAGACTGTTCTCACAAGACAGGGTCAGAATAGGAATCACATTTTAATCACTGTGATTCTGCTGACTAGCCAGATACCTGAAACAGTATCATTTCGCACGCAGCTGGTGTGGCTCAGTGGACTGAAAGCTGTCCCATGGACTGAGAGTCCCGGTTTGATTCCCAGTCAGGGCACAGGCTGGGGTTGCGGGCTTGATCCCCAGTAGGGGGCGTGCGGGAGGCAGTTGATGGATGTTTCTCTCTCTCTCCCCCTTCCTCTCTCTTTAATAAAAACCAATAAAAAACATATTGAAAAAAAAATTTAAGTCCTTAAGTCCTTAAGTCATTTCTTTCTGTTTCCACCTGGTAAAGTTAACTCTGTGCTATCTCTCTTGAAAGAAATACAATATTTCTGGTCTAATTTTCAAGGCCATACCTTTGGGCACCAAATGAACAAAGTGTTCAGATAAGAAAGCAATAATCCTCTCTCCACAACCATCTGAAATTCTCTCGGTCAGGCACAGTCAACATCACCAAAGAACAAAGAGGAGCTCCAAACCCCGGCACTGCCAAGCCAGCTGCTGCCATGCTGGACTCTTAACACACAGTCCAGAACCACCCCAGGAGGGGGCATGTGCACCAAGTCCTTTGAAGGTTGTCGTGTGCTGTTTCTTACCTGGGATGAGGCCCTTGCTCTCCAAAATCGCCAGACTGTTGTTCTGAAACTTCTGCAGCAGCTCCACCTTTTGGGTCAGGTCCTTCAGTTTTCCCTATTGGGGTTCCATACAAACAGATCAGGCCTGTCCCACTCCTCGGGGGTGGTCTTTACTGTCCTTGCTCTTGGACAGCCACAGTGCAAGCCTGCCATCTTAACTTTCTGCCCTCAGCTCCTGGGCTTTACAAGCTTGCTCCCTCCCAAGGGGCTGTCCCTCGGGATCCCACATGCATCACCCAGTGCAGCCGACAGCTGAGGTCTGGTGGGTCTCCTACCTGAGTTTCAGTCAACTTCTGGTGCAACTGCTTGTTGACAGCCTCTAAGAGCTGGTTCTTATCTTTGAGCTCTTCCTCTGATTTCTGCTTACTCAGTGGTCTGTTGCTGTAATGATAGTTGTACTTAAATGAAGTGGTAGAGGGTTAAGAGTATGGACTATGTAGTCTCACCAACAGGGGTTCGAATCCTGACTTTATTACATAGTGGTATATGAGTTCAGTGAGTTGCATAACCTCTCTGAGGTTCTGTGTCCCCATTTCTAGAATTAGGATAATACCTACATCTTATAATATCGTTATTGTGAAGGATAAGAGAGAGAATACGTGTACCATTCTTAGCAAGCTACTGACACATAGTAAACATTTAATAAATAAGAGCCATTATCACCATAAATATTAGTAAACATTCTTTTCAAATTTCTCAGAACTTTATTTTATTTTCAGAACTTTTAAGACATGCCCAGATTTGGAATTAGAACGTACTTCTACAGACTGTTCAGCTTATATTATTTCTGTCCTCAGTACTGCAAAATGTTCAACCTAGCCTCAAAGACAGAAAGATAGATTGTTCTCCTGGATTTCGCCTTCACCTGCACCACCAGAAATACCATCTCAAAATCGCTAACTACATGCAGCACCTCCTATCATGAAGTCTTCACACTCCTGTTGATAGGGCATAGCTGGGTTTGATTTCTGATCAGCTGTGGTCCTGGCATGGAGCACAAAAAGCTCTTGACTGGCACTCAAGGTGACAGCTTCACGGATCTTACCCTGATAGTGTTTTTCAAATCTGGCTGTGCCTCACCCCTGAAAATTCTGTTCCGGTTTCTAGGGTGACACCCAGGCTGTGACACATTAAATAAGTCCCAAAAAGTCCTGTACAACCAGGACTGAGATCCACTAAAATGGTGCCCAAACTTCATTTACCCTGATGCTCACCTCTTTTTAATGTTCTTCTTGATGGCAGTATCTGCAGCTTTCATCTGCCTAGAGAAGCAGAGACAAAAAATTCAGGACGTTAACTTGACTTATTGTGAACATTTTACACTATATACACACATATCAAATCATGTTGTACACTTAAAACTATAATATAGTCAATAATACACTAATTAGAAACAACAAAGGAATCAGAGAACTGTAATATGCTGTTATGTGTTGTGAACAAAGCAGAACAAAGACGCTGGTTTTCTAAAGAACAAACCAGAAATTTTATACAATGCGATAGCACAAGATTGAGAAGCTCTGAGGGCCCATGCACTTTGTTTCAGCCCAGATTATTGAAAAAGGCTCATTAATAGAGAATGAACTCCCTCTTGCTCAAAATGGAGTGGCTCTGTCCACCTCACTTAGCTGGGGACTGAGCACTGGATGCAGGGACACGCATGCACACTGGGGTGGACTGTGCTCAGAACAGGAACGTAGACTAACAACTAGCCTCCACCCACCATGACTACCATTTAGGGCTGGTATATGACCACTGTAATGCCATCTGTACACTCAGAGCAGGGGTGAGAAAGGAAAAAACACCTCTTTTCATAACCCATGCTGTGCCTCTTCAGAACTGATTAACATAGGGAGTCCTGACAAACAGCTCAGCCATGCTGCCCTGCTCTGGGCCACTGACTCCAGGCCAATTGTTCAGGTGCCTTGTGCTCTCAAAAACCCTATTTTCTCATTCTTGGTACAGAGCAATTTCTAGCAAGAGGTTCTAACTGGTTATCAATGATCTGACCCACCCGTTCTCTCTTCTCGGTTTGATGATTTTCATATCATTTTCTGAAACTCCTGAATGAAGCATTCTGGAAACATCAACTTCTTTAGACTTTACAGGTAATAAGCTCTTAGAATTGGCTCGAGTTTGTGTGTCTGCAAAGAAAAACAGGAGGGTGAAACCTCAAGCATCGTGACCCAGCAGCTGCAACTCTATAACAAACAGAGCTCCATTCCCAGTCAGAAACCTGTATTTCATTCTGGCCTATCTCAATATGTGAAGAATAATTCAGAAGAATAAGGATTCTAGACTAATTGGAGATAGAAACCAAAATTCTTTAAATGTGACAGTGCAGTATGTTTAAGGGTAGCCAAAAGCTTGATGACATATCAAACGGAATGGCCAGAGGGTATAAAATGGAGCTAAATGAGAGGCAGTGTGGCTGGCAGTCAGCAGAGCAAAACACAGTCGACTCCTTCAGCGAACACAAGGGATCGAACCATCTTGTTAAGCTCCTAGGCACTCTGCACGCTTTCCCAAGGCTGCACTCAAGCTGTTCGAGTTTCTCTTTAACTGTCGCTTTAGTTGTTTTGACCAGACTATGTCCCTAACTACTCTAAAATGTGTCCTTGTGTCCCAGTGCTTAGGGGAGTACTGGCACACAGAGGTTCAATACCTGCTTGTTGAATAAACGGCACACTTTCCAGTTTCATAGATTGTTTCACAGACCATCTCTAAATAATTTCTAGTCATCTTTCCCTCTTCCGTGCCTTTACCTTTACCACCAGCCCTTTTAATTTGTTTATCCTTAAGTTCAGAGTGTCCCTATTTGGCATTCTGTTCTGATCCTCTTGCTAGGCTATTGCCAGATAACCAGAGAAATGGCCCTGTCATGACACTCTTCTTCCCCAGAGGAGAGTATTTTCCCCCGACCCTTGTGCTACCCTCCACCACACACTGACATCCTACCATTTACATCCATACCAAATCCAAGTAGTACCTTGTTCTAGAGTTAAGCACACTCCCTCCCCCCCAACACCCACATCCACCCACACATATACGCTTTTCTCTTTTACACTAACTTTTACTTTTTCATTGTAAAATGGCTCCTTTAAAGCTTAACCTTAACAAAGAGCCAGAACAATAAAATCAAGTTGAAGAAGTGAAGTACAAAGCACTGGATGACAGGGATTAGGAAATTTTGTACTTGTTTTTTTTGAACAAGATTTTATTTTTATGACTCTAACTGCACAACAGTTTGGAATAAATATGATTTCTCAGGTTAACAAATTATTTCATTTACAGATATATCCACCGGGCTCTTACACCTTATTTTCCATATGCTTACCCAACAAAACAAAAATTAAAAGGGTTCTTTCTGAGGTCTCTATCTGAAGTAAAAAGCAACCTTGGGGGAATGTATTTACCTTCTCCTCTCTCAAATGTTTATAAGTTATACACAATAACAAATCTACCCCATATAAAAAGTGTTAGTAGTAAACCGAACAAAATTAACACTCCTCGTTGACTGTAATTAGTTTCAATAATCCATATTTGCTAGAACCTAAGGATTTCATTGTAGGAAAAATTTACAGGATTTCACAAAGACTTTCTTCTTAAAATGAGAGCTACTAGGAGGGAAATTGGATGGCTGGTATTCAAGGAAGGGAAGAGGATTTGTTTTTCACTGCATATCATTTCCTAGCTTTAGATTTTTTTTTCTTTTTATCCTCACCCGAGGACATTTTTGCATTTATCTTCAGATAGAGTGGCAGGGGAGAGGGGGGAAGACAGAGAGAGAAACATCAATGTCAGACAGACACACAGACTGGTTGCCACCCACACGAACCCAACTGGGGCCGGGGACAAACTGCAACTGAGGTACATGCCCTTAGTGGGAACCAAACCCGGGCTTCTCCGGTCCATGGGCTGATACTCTAACCACTGAGCCAAACGGGCCAGGGCTAGTTTTTTTGTTTTTATTAACGTGTATCTGTTACCCAGTCAAAAAACTAAAACTTGGTGTTAAAGTAACTCCAAGATTTCCCAGGTGGCTGGGAAACCTTAAAGTATAGCAGTGACGACATGGAGAGCGGCAGAGCCATGTGATCACAAACTTGCCTCCCTCATCTCAAAAGAGCCAGAAAGAGGCACTGAAGGTGCCTCCAGAAACAGCAGGGCCAATGACCATTAGCAAAAGGAGGCAGTGCACAACACCAGCATTCTACCACCCACCACATTCCCCCACCAGAGTGGTAGTGCCCTGTAACAGAGGCCACCCAGTCAAGAGGAGACAACCAACCATCCCAGTGGATACGTGACATTTTCCTTAACTGAAATGACATCGCTCCACCCTGATCCCAGAGGTGCAAATAGCACAGGTAAGAGAAAACAAAAACTTACACCATGATACCATCAAAATAAAGTACCCTACCTATCAAACTGCTAAATTATTGAGAGCAAAATAGTACCTAAACAAGAAAAGAGTTCACTACCTCAAATGTACAGGCAGAGAAACAATTTATTAAATATCATGAACAACACCAAGATAACATGGGAGCACAGAAAGAAAATGAAAAGTCTCCAGAAACCAAAGTCAAAATCATGGAAGACTGTGACTTAAATAACAGTTCGAGACACAAGAGAACTCAGAAAGGCAATACAATGAGTTCAATAAAAACATTAAATGAACAAAAGGGGTACTTTACCAAAAAGAGTTAAGCTATAAAAAAGAACCAAACAAATTCTGGAGCTGAAGAAATCAATAAATGAGATGAGTGCACTAGAGAGTATTAGAAATAGAGCAGACACTACGAAAGAGAGAATTAGCAAGCTCAAGATAGAAACCTAGAAATGACCCAGGAGGAAGAACACAGGGCAGGGGAGGGCAGGGGAGAGGAGTAGATTTTTAAATTGAGAATGAAAAAGTAAAACTGTCACTATTTGCAGATGACATGACTCTATATATAGAAAACTCTAAAGATGCCACTAAAAATCTACTAGAAACAATACAGTAAAATCACAGGATACAAAATCAATATATAAAAATCTGTTGCAGTCCTATATACTAACAACAAAATATCAGAAAGAGAAATGAAGAAAATCCCATTTATAATCACAACAAGAATAAAATTAACAAAGGAGGTGAAGGTACAGACACTGAAAACTGTGACACTGTTGAAAGAAATTGAAGAAGACAAAGAAATGGAAAGATATTCCATATTCATGGATTGGAAAAATTAACATTGTTAAAATGGCCATATTACCTAAACCAATATACAGATTTAATGAAACCCCTATAAAAATCCCAATGGCCTTTTTTTTTTTTTTACAGAAATAGAACACAAAAATCCTCAAATTTGTATGGAATCACAAAAGATCCTGAATAGTCAAAGCAATCCTGAGAAAAAAGGACAAAGCTGGAGGTATCATTTCCTGACTTCAAACTACACTAAACTATAATAATTGAAACAACATGGTATTGGCAGAAAAACAGACACACAGACCAATGGAACAGAACTGAGAGCCCAGAGATAAACACACATATATGGACAATTTTCAACAAAAGAGCCAAAGACATACAATGGAGAAAGAAAAGTCTCTTCAATAAATGATGATGGGAAAACTGGAAAGCCACATGCAAAAGAATGAAACTAGACAGCTGTCTGATACCATACACACACATAAAAAAACATAAAAATGTAGCTAAAGACTTGAATATAAGACCGGAAACAGTAAAATACATAGAAAGAAACATAGGCACTAAACTTACGAATCTTGGTCTCAGGTGGGTTTTTGTGAATTTGACCCCAAAAGGAAGGGAAGTAAAAGCAAAAATAAATAAATGGGACTATATCAAACTAAAAAGCTTCTGCATTGTAAAAGAAACCATCAACAAAACAAAAAGGCAACCAAAAGAACAGGAGAAGATATTTGCAAACTATACCTCTGATAAGGGGTGAATATCTGAAATATGTAAAGAACTCATACAACTCAAAAGAGAGAGAACTCATGAACACAGACAACAAACAGTGTGTTGACTGTGTGTGGGGGGTGGGGTGGGAGGAAGGTTTGGCGGGAGGGAAGGTGGAAGAAAGCATAGAGGGGATAAATGGTGATGAAAAAAATAAGTTAAAAAAAAAAAAGAACTCATACAACTCAACAAAATAATCCTATTAAATGGACAGAAGACCTGAATAAACAATTTTATAAGCAAGTCACGAATGACCAACAGAAATATGAAACATCACTAGTTATAAGGGAAACGTAAATCAAAACTACAATGAGATACTACCTCACACCTGTTAGAATGGCTATAATCAATAAGATAAGAAATAACAAGTATTGGAGAGGATGTGGAGAAAAGGGAACCCTCGTATACTGCTGATGGGAATGTAAATTGGTGTAGCTACTATGACAAACAGTATGGAGGCTCCTCAAAAAATTAATAGAGCTGCCCTGGCCAATTTGGCTCAGCGGTTAGAGCGTTGGCCCACGGACCAGAGTCCCAGGTTCAGTTCCTGCTAGGGGCATGTACCTCGGTTGCGGTTTGTCCCCAGCCCTGAATGGGATCATGTGGGTGGCAACCAATAGAGGTTTCTCTCTCTCCCTCCCCCTTTCCCTCCCGCTCTGTCTGAAGATAAATGCAAAAATATCCTTGGGGGAGGATTAAAAAAAAAAATTAATAGAGCTGCCATACGAGCCAGCAATCCCTATCTACCTTAAAAATTTGAAAACACTTACTTGTAAAGACATATGTACCACTGTAGCACTATTCACAACAGTCAAGACATGGAAACAACCTACATGTCCTTTGACTAATGACTGGAAAAACAAGATGTGGTACATATATAGAATGGAATACTATTCAGCCATTAAAAACACGAACTATTGTCATTTGTGATGATATGGATAAATCTTGAAAATATTATGCTAATGAATAAGTCAAATGGAAACAGGCAACCATTTGACTTATTCATTAACCACAAGTTGTTTCACTTGGACGTGGGATATAAAACAAAAGCAACAAACATACAAAAAACACAAAACAAAAAAAATCCAAAAACAAAAACTCACTGATACAGACAACAGAATGGTGGTTACCAGAGTGGAAGAGGTAACAACAAAAGGAGGCTAGAGCTATGACTGAGTAGCTCAGTTGGTTAGAGCTACATCCTGATACACCAGGGTTGTAGGTTTGATCTCTGGTCAGGGCACATACAAGAATCAACCAATGAATGCATAAATAAGTGGAACAACAAACTGATGTCTCACTCCCCTTGGCCCCCTTCCTCCCTCTCTCTAAAAAAAATATATATATATTAAAAAAAAGAGTCTAGACTTTGGGTGCTGAGTACACAATAAAGTATACAAATGCTATATTATAAAGTTGTACAACTGAAATTTATATAACGTTATTAACCAATGTCACCCCATATTATGAAATGTAATAAAAACAAAAAACCTGAAACTTAAAAAAAACTAACCCATGCCCCAAACCAAAACAAAAAAACCTGGAAGACGGCCTAAAAATGTTAAATTATTGAGGCTACATATGATCAGAAAGCTGGGACAGAAATAGAAAGCAAAGAGAGGAAAACTTTCAACTTGGCTGGAGAGAGCCAGTCACTCCCCACTCAGAGAGGCACTGCACTCTAAGGGGAAGTTGTGTAAACAGAAGTGGCTCTGGTTCCCCTTGACACTCCTAGGTCCTGCTAATGCCAGGATTACCAGTCAGGTGTTCTGAGGCAACATAAGACAAACAGGACAACCCTTTAAGCCTTCAGAGAAAAGCCTATTTACTTCACAGATCAATTCTGCCACTGCTTGTCAACCAGCTGCAGGGAGTCACTGGGAAGGGATCCTCAACAGCTGCTTCAAAATCTCCCACAACAGGTTCTTTTTTTTATCTCTTTTTAATCCAGGATTAATTTAATTTTAAAACAAACAGAAGCTACTGATTCACTCTTCTCAACGTCACTGGAGAGTCTACCTGTCCCAGGAAAGGTTCTGATGTTTGAAGCTTATTCTGTGCTACAGTCTCTAGATTAGGCAGCTGGACACCGCAGACCCTGGGCAATGACTTTCAACCACAAGCCAAGTAACATAAAGCAAGATGGCAAAGCAACTGACACAATTTATGTCTCCTCCCAAGTTTCTCGAATGCTTTAGCTAGGCCCAACTCCTCTCTCTCACTTCACTCAACAAATTCTTATTGAGAATGTACTATATGAGAGACACTGTGCAGATACAAATGTGAACCAGGCATGGTGGGGAACCCTAGTCCTTCCCTCTAAGTATCTTGCTTCTCAAATGACTCTCCTCTGTTCTCTGACAACAAACCCTGTCCCTCCAGATAGCTTAAGTCTGGAAATAAAACCGGTAATTGTTTACCAAGGGATTCCTAGCTCAATGGGAATAATACTGTAGGACAATTAGCAGCTTAAATCTAATTGATAATGCAGCACGGTTAGGTTTGGGGAAGCAGGGGGGTCTAAAACCCTACCGCACGGCCCTCTTAACCCTAACTCCCATCTTAAACCTAGGCAGGCCGGTTCTAGGGGAGTTAGCAGGTTGTCAGCGTCGATGGAATGCTCCCCACCCCCACCCCACCCCGACTAGGCTCCCTACTCGGGCCAAGGATGACCCTCCGTACTCCCCTGGGGGGCGGTGTGGACACCCACCTGCGGACGGGCAGCTGCTCAACACCGAGGAGGGTTGCAGTGCGTACATTGTCTTAACCACGCCAGTCATCGCAACGAGGTGGCAAGGCTGGGCCCTGGAAGGTGGAAGGTGAATGTTACCCCGTGGTGGGCCAGGGAGCCTCCGAGCAGAATGGCCCAGGGAGAGCGCGACCCAGTCTGCCCCGGCTCCCGGGAGGAGTAAGGAGAAACCCGTCCATTCCCAGCCCAACCCGCCCGTTCCCATCAGCCCAACCCCCTGCTCCAGCAGAGCCGAACCCAGATGCCTGGAGCTCCTGCCCGCAATCCTCGTCTCTCGGATTCAAACGGCGTTCCGCGGCAACTGCCGCACAGCCAGCCGGGTCTGCCGCTTGGGTTTCAAATGGAAACTTCCGGTGGCTGGGTGGGAGGGGCTGAGGTGCGCCCGTAGGCGGCCATGTTGTACGGCAGACGCCGCCCTGGGCGACGCCGGCGGGGGATGCCATGCTGTACGGACGGTGCGAGCCGAGGCTTGAGCCGGGTGTTGGAGCTTCCGCGTCTGGGCGGGGGAGGGCGTGGTGCACTTTGCGGACCTGAATGGAGCTATGAGCTACTGGCGTCATGTTCCAGTTTGGGAGGCAAACGCAGTCAAGTTTAGAGTCCGTGTCACAATCCTTTTCTTTGTTCGGTCGTGATTGTCAGGGATATTGCATGATGCCTGAGTGCCAGGCGCAAAGGGTATTTCAACGGGCTTAAAACTACACGTTACAGGGTGAGGAGTGGCCGATGAGGTTTGAAGAGGGCCTGTGAGCTGAACTATCTGAGGCACCTACCCGCAATTCTAACTTTATCATTTCCCTCAACAAATACTGGGCACCTGCTATGTGCCAGGCCACTATTCTAAGTGGTCTGGTGGGGAGCGGGGTGTCAGCAAATATTAAGACCTTGGTTCTGAGCTCCTGGAATTTACAATTTAGTGAACAAATAATCATGCCCCAGCTGCAGCAGAGGAGAAGAAAGACGAGAAGGAGGAGTTCGAGGAGTCGGATGACGACATGGGATTTGGCTTGTTTGATTAGAGTCTCATTGCCTACAAATAAAACCCTTTTTACATAAAAAAAAAAAAAGAAGAACTTGTCAATTATATCTCAATTAAGCTGGACAAATGTCAAATATATATTTACCAACTGTAGTAAAAATATGAAGGAAAGTACAATGTTCTGTGAAGAGAAAAGCCAGGAAATCAAGTTTAGATTAGGGAGTCAGGGACATCATCCCAGTGATGTAAGGACTAGTGGGAGTTAATCACGTAAACAATGAGGGAGGGGCAGATATGCAAAATCCTGAGACAGCAATGGGCTTTTCTCCTAGACAGGACTGGAAGATTCTAGGAGAGTGGTACAGATAAGGCCAGAAGAATGGCAGCCTTTGTAGGCCAAAGGTAAAGAAATTTGATTTTATCTTAAGAGTAATAGGAAGTCGCCCTGGCCAGTTTGGCTCAGCAGTTAGAGCATCGGCCTGCAGTCCTGAGAGACCCAGGTTTGGTTCCTGCTAAGGGAGCATACCTCGGTTGCAGTTTGTCCCTGGCTCTAGTTGGTCGTGCGGGTGGATGTGTCCCTTTCATCTCAATGTTTCTCTCTCTCTGTTCCTCTCTCTCCCTCCCACTCTATCTGAACAAAAAATGGAAAAATGTCCTCGGGTGAGGATAAAAAATAATAATAATAATTTTTTAAAAAGAATAATAGGAAGTCATTGAAGTATTAGAGCAGGAAAGTATCCTTCAAGTTACATATATTATTTTTTTAACACAAGTTTGTTTGTTTATTTCCCCAATTTTTTTTCCTTTAATGATTTGAACGGAGAGGGAGAGAGAGACAGAAACATCAATGAGAGAGAACATTGATTGGCCACCTCCTGCATGCCCCACACTGGGGATTTGGCCCACAACCTGGGCATGTGCCCTGACCAAGGAATGAAACCAGTGACCTCTTAGTGCATGGGTTAATGCTCAACCACCGAGCTACACCGGTCGGGCTTCAAGTTATATTTTTAAAAGCCCATTCTGGCCCGGCCAGTGTTACTCAGTGGATTGAGCATCTGTCCCATGGACTGACAAGTCCCAGTTCGATTCCTGGTCAGGGCACGTGCCCGGGTTTCAGGCTTGATCCCCAGTAAGGGGTGTGCAGGAGGCAGCCAATCAATGTTTCTCTCTCATATCGATGTTTCGATCCCTTTCTCCCTTCCCCTCTTTATATATATTTATACACACACACACACACATTTATATATAAAATAAAAGCTCATTCGAGCTACCCAGAGAATGGATTGAAGGGGACAAGAGTGGAACTAGGAAGACAATTGGGAGGTACTGTAATCATTCCAAGTAAGAAAAGATGATGGCTTGGCCATGATGCTGGTGGAATTCATGGAAATGGAGAGAGAATCAGATACATTTAAGACAACTTTTGGAGATCAAATATCAGAACTCATAGCTAGATTGGAAGTGGAGCAGGGAGTGGGGGATAAGGTGGAAGGAAATTTTAAGGATAACTCCCTGATTTGAATAATGATGTGGATAGAGTCACTATTTTGTGTTGGGGGGAGTTGGAGCATTTAGGTTTGTTGTTTGTTTGTTTAATGCATTTTTGTTGATTTGAGAGAGAGAGGGAGAGGGAGAGAGAGAAACATTGATTGCCTGCCTCCTGCATGCCACCTACTAGGGATTGAGCCTAAAACCCTGGGCATGTGCCCTGATGGGAAATCGAACTTAGTGCATGGGACAGTGCTCAACCAACTGAGCCACACCAGCCAGGGTGAGCATTTAGTTTTGAACATGGTAAACTTGAAATGCCTCTGAGACATTCAAGTGTTTAAACGGTCAAGTAGGCAGTTGGGAATATAGGCTTTGAGCCCAGAGGAGAGTCTAGGTTGGTGATGCACTTTTGGGAGTTATGGGTATATGGATGCATTTAAATACATGATACTGGATGAGATCAGCAAGGGAAGAAGTGTGTAGAGAGCCTTATGGCCAAGGACAGGGACAGCAGCGTTTAGAAGTTGTAATAAGAAGGTGTCAGCCAAGAAACATGATAAAGAGGTGCCAGAGAGGTGAAAAGAAAATAAACAAACAAAAAAGGTGGTATCCTAGAAGCTAAGAAGGAAGAAGTGGTAAACTGCTGAAGGACGGAGTGGTAAACTATTGAAAATAACTGAAAGGGCCCTGGCTGGTGTGGCTCAGTTGGTTGGGCCTTATCCTGTGCACCAAAGGGTTGCTGGTTCGATTCCCAGTCAAGGCGCATGCCCAGGTTATGGGCTTTATCCCCAGTAGGGGGAATGCAGGAGGCAGCAGATCAATGTTTCACTCTCACATAGATGTTTCTCCCTTCCTCTCTCTCTAAGAATCAATAATATCAATATTCTCACCCAAGGACTTTTTGCATTCATCTTCAGATAGAGCTAGAGGGAGAGAGGGAGGAAGAGAGAGAAAGAGAAACATCAATGTGAGAGAGACACATCGACTGGCTGCCACCCACACAACCCTAACTGGAGCCAGGGACAAACTGCAACTAAGGTATGTGCACTTAGCGGGAACTGAACCCTGGTCTCTCTGAACTACGGGCCGGCGCTCTAACCACCCTGAGCAACCGGCCAGGGCAATAAAAATATTTTCGAAAAACTGAAAAGGTAATTGAGATGAGAAATAAAAAGGACTCATTTAATTTAGCAACAAAGAAGTCATTGGTGAGTATAGAAAGAGTAATTCTGGTGGGGAGGTTTGAATGGAATCATGTTGGAGCAGGTTGAAGAGTACATGAGAGAGGAGGAAGCAGAGATGGCAGGTATGGACTTAGAGAGTTTGTGAATGGAAGAGCAGTTGAGCAGTAACTGGAGGTGGGTTAAGGGGTGCAGCTTGAAGGTGCAGGTATTAGTTGATACATGTGCTGATGGGGATGAGCCAGCTGAGAGGAAGAAAAGGGTGCTTCAGAGGGGAGAGGGGATGATCAAAGGAGCAAAGTCATAGAGAGGGAGGGAGGGAAGGTGGGATCTAAAGCAGCATCTTAAAATTCTTTTGTTCATAACCTGGCTGATGTGGCTAAGTGGTTGAGCATTGATCCATGAACCAGGAGGTTGCCAGTTCGATTCCCAGTCAGGGCACATGCCCAGTCCCCGGTGGGGGGCATGCAGGAGGCGGCCAGTAGATGTTCTCGCTCATCGATGTTTCTCTCTCTCTCTCAAATCAATTCAAACATTTAAAAAAAATTCTTTTGTTCATATAACCCCACAAAATAAAACAAAAAACAATGTACCCTCTCACTCATTTTTAGTTGATGCCTAAATGTTTTCATAATTTTAAATATTTGTAAAGGACATATTCTTCCTACCTATTATATATTGCACATGATATTTATTTATTTATTTATTTACTTACTTATTTATTTATTGGTACATGCCACTAGTGGGAACCGAACCCAGGACTCTCTGGTCTGCAGGCCGACGCTCCAACCATTGAGCCAAGTTGGCCAGGGCTGCACATGATCTTTATTCATTTCTAAAATTCTTTTTTCTTTTGGTATTTCATTTTGATTAATTTCTATTGCCATGTCTTCAAGTTCATTAATCTTTTTCTGCAGTGTCTAAACTGTTTTTAATTCCATCCAGTGATTTTTCATCTCAGGCATTTTAGTTTCATCTCTACGAGTTCAATTTGCATATTTTTAAAATACCTTCCAAGTTTCTACTTAGCTATGGAGTACAATTACAATAACTGTTTTAATGTCCTCATATAAGGATCAGTTCTGGGTTGGTATCCATTGATTTTCCTCCTCACTATGGGTCATAACTTTCTGCTTCTTTGCATAACTGGTAATTTTTATTAGACCCCAGACATTGTGAATTTTATGTTTTGGGGTGCTGGTTATTTTTGTATTCCTGTAAATATTCTGAAGGTTTGTTCTGGGATGCAGTTACATCACTTAGAAACAGTTTTATCCATTCAGGTCTTGCTTTTAAAATTTGTTAGGTGGGAACAATCAGTATTTAAACTAGGGTTCATGAGTCCCCACTGCCAAGCTGCTGAGCCAAGAATATTTTTTTTTTCTTTGTAAATCCTCACCCAAGGATATTTTTTCCCATTGATTTTTAGAGAGATATTTTTCCCACTGATTTTTAGAGGGGTCAGGGATCGAACCTGCAACCCAGGTACATGCTCTTAACTGGAAATCAAACCCATGACCCTTTGGTCCATGGGCTAATGCTCTAACCACTAAGAAAACTGGCCAGGGTGAGCCAAGAATCTTTTGAAAACCCTAATCAATGCTCCATAAATAATGAGGTTTTCCAGTCGGGCTAATGGGAATAGGCAATGTTCTACCCCTGTGTGGCTACTATTCCTTCCTATCATTTTGGATGGTTTTTTCCTTGGTTTCAAGTAGCTTCCTCACATTTATATGGCGAGCAGTGCTCTGCGGAATACTCAAGGGGGCCCTTTGCAGATCTCCAGAATTCTCTCTCCTTGCACCTTTCTCCTACCCAGTATTCTGTCCTGAGCACACTCTAGCTACCTTGGTTGCCCCAAACCCTGAGCTATCTCCTCAGCTCAGGAAGTCGGCATGGCCTTTCTGGG